TCGCTGGGACAGCGCACCTAATTATTATAAATAAACCAATCGAACAATAAAGATCTGCTGGCCAACTTTCCACGAAATGCGCACAGTGGCCAAGTGGCCATAAGAACTTAATCGCAAATGAGATTCCGGGCCAGTTCGAGTCCCAAAAGCGGAGGCTAAAGCCGGCAACGCCATCGATATAACACAATCGATGATGAGGCGGCTCCCAAGTCCATTCCGAACCCGAATCCAGGCTAACAAGCGGTTTGATGGGGCAGCCAGTCGGCTGGATTAATCGCTGACATGGTCGGGGGAAAATTCTGGATGGCAGGGGGAGCGGGTCCCAAAATGTCCAGGCTTACACATGGAAAAATAAAGGAATATCCACTAAAAAGAAGAAAATGGTTAGAATCTTTAGAAATTAATCATTTAGTTAATTTTTTTTTGTCGTTGCTAAGGATAATGTTAGTAATTAAAACCTTTAGTGATGTATACAACAAATAATAATAATAATATAATTATAATAATAATTAATAATAAACAATGAATCCCAAAGTTCTATTGTTTAAATAAAAATTTTATGTTAATATTTTGTTAAGTATACATATTATGTTTCTGTCCTAAGGACGTGTAGCGTGGAAGATGCGTTCTATGTTCAGGAACCATTTTGCCGGCATGAACTCGTCGATTGAGGGGGTGTTTGGTAAATATCTTACATATCCCTCGAAAATAACAGAGTAAATATTAAGAGAATTTGGGAAATGGTTAATGTATCGTATTATCTTCCCTTTCGAATAAAGAATTAGCACAGATACAGCATAAAATTAAATTTGTATTAATATTTAAGAGATTTTTTAGATATACCTATTTTTCCGAGTGCAAGTCCTTGGAGCCACAGATAAGGCGCTGACGTAGTTAAACATATTGTAATTGCTGCGATGCCCCAAACGGGTTTCCATCCAACCTGGACGGCCTGGTCCGGCAGTCTGGTCATTGTTTTGGAGTGGCTTCTGTATCGTCCCAGCATCAGATTACCACTCTATGTGCAGACAAAGGCGCAGCATCATCAGCTTCGGCATCAGCATCAGCCAATAAATGGAAGGCGTCGTTGTCGTCCTCAACGGCATCCCGATCCGCATCCCGATCCGCATCCCGATCCTCTCCAACTCCTCTCGAGATCTCCAGCCTCCATCCTCCATCCTCCTGTCGCTGTCGTTACGGCCTTTGATTTTTGTGGATCAGAAGCAGCACGGTAGCCGTTCGATAATTTGCTATGGCATTCCAAGTGTATGTCTCCTTATCCGCATGTCAATCAAGCTCCTAATTATTCGCCGAATGCAAAAGATAATTGGACCGTCGGTTTTTGGGGACTGCCGCTGCTTCCACCAACTGGATTCGAACCCAAAAGCCATTTCAATATAACAAACGAGAAAGGTTCTGCAGGGAGGCAATTATGACAAACTCAAAATTCTGAGAGGGGTCCTTCTGTAGCTAGTGGCATCCAATTAAATGAAAGGGAAAAAAACAAAGGAAGTGGGTATAATCCAGAGATAATCCGGTGACATATGCGTTGATGTGGAAAGAACATTAAACAGTAGCCGAAAATGTGGGTATTCTTTTGATTTCTAAAATACAACAAAGGTATGGAAAAATTGGTAAAAAAAAGTTGTTTTGCTCGAACTAACTCAATTTACTTGTGGTTAAACACGCGACTTTAACTAACTGGTGTGAAACCAAATCAGAAAACTTTATTACCCGTAATTATTTGACAATATTAACAAGTTTATTACAGTGATTTGGTAGATATTAAACGTTCAGCTATGTGATTTTATCTATAAAACGAAGTTTCCTTTCGCCAATTTCTAATACCCTTCAAAAATTTAGATTGGCTATATTGATTTAGGATGAGCATGAAAGCAAATCTAAATATTACAAACCTGTTTGTTGCTATTTCTGAGGTTCAAAATAGTTGTAGATAAGTGAAATGCTCCTAAATATTAATTAATTTCATATTTGTAAAATATTTTTTTTAGAGAGTAGTGAAATTAAATGTATCAGGTATACTTTATTCGGATCTCAGGATCTCAAGAGAGCCCCATCGGCAGTTTTAACGGCAGCTAATTCATTTGGCGTCCCAGCAGGTTTCCAGCTGTCTATTTCTATATATTATCTGCGAGTGGTAATCATGCTGGGAACGCATTGCACTAGCATCTCATGATCGCATATAGGTCCTGTTCCTGGCCACAAGGATGCACATGGAAAAATCACTAATTCCCAAAAAATACAGTGAGTTCAAGTCAATTGAATATTCCACACAAATTGAACGATATTAATATTTATTCACCTATTTTATTATTATTTTGCTTTTTTTTTCTAAATATGTTATTTATCATCACTCTATAAAAGTTAATTATTTCCTTTAAGAGAATCATCTATTATGGCTTGTCCAGCCAAAATTATTATTTTTTTTATAAGGCAACTTTAGCTTTAAAGTTAGAATGAAAATTCTAAAGTCACATGAACAACCCTTTAAAGATCGAATTTTTTATATCAACTTATTTTCCCTGTGCAGCTGCAAGTGTAATGAAATCACACATAGACGGGGAAAATGAAACTGCGATTGGAGCCGTTGAAAAAGTGGGTAAGACCGAGGCAAAGTGCGGGGCTTTTGCGACATGGAGACCATCGACACTTTGTACGTTGTTGTGTAAAACGATTGGCGCGTTAATCAACGTACAAATTTCCGACTTATATGGCCAGCGAATTAAATCGTTCCCCCGAGATCGGCCAGCCTGGTCAGCTGTCCTCCTGACAGCTGCCGATTAGAACTGGAGCGATAAATTATACAATTGCCATGCGTGAGACCCGCAAAGAGAGAGGATCGTATCGGTTTGGGATTGGATCGTATTGGCCTCCATATATATATATATATCGAGGACCTGGTGTCCCGATTCCCCCGGCTCATCGCAATGACAATTACACTGATTACATTAAATATATGAGGCCCATATTGGGACCCCATTGCCTCTGGGAGTGTTAACTGTTCGCATGTCCCTCCGCAAGCAAAAGAAAAGTTAAAATCGCCTTCGAGCGTAATTTGTGCAATTTGCTGCCCCTTCAAATAGGCAGCACGAATCACCGGCCGAAACCTCATGAAAACTATGCAAATTAGCTGGGCCTAAAAAGTTGGTAGCAAAAAGCCAGCCCTAGACACTCTAATATATAATTTATAATAATTGTTAGTTTTTGAAATTACAGCTCTTTGAGTTTTAGATTAGATAATAAACAAACGAAACCTTCAAAAATATCCTTAAAAATATTCAAATAAAAATGCAGAAAAATACTAATAGAAATATTTAATAAATAATGGAGATTAATATAAAAATGTATTAAAAAAAGTTACACATATATCATTTAACACAGCTACTTTCAAAAATTCAAAATGGAATGGTTTCAAAATGGTTTGATAAGTATCAATATTAGTTTTAGATCTCATATTTAACAAATTAGTTCCACCTTCCAAAAATACATTTTAAATAAAGTATATACATTTTTAAAATTAACCTTTAACAGAAACCAAAGTACCCCAAATACCCTTGGCTTGAAAAAATCGACAAACATGCATTCTTCGACTTAGGAACCGGCTGTTTGTTATGACCTGTGCAGTTTGCTTTAAATTCTTGTGGCGCGGCATGAAAAATCAATTATGTTAGTTGAACTTTCTAAACAATTGCGCATAATTACGAGCGTTGCGTTGGGGACGAAACCAAAGCGAAACCGAAATGCGGCTGCATTGCATTGCCGTTGCCTCAATTTGTGCATTTGCATAAGAGAAGGGTTGGGGAATTTTCCAGGGGTTTTGTGCCACAAAACAAACAAGAAAGAACAACAATTAAGGTCCCAAATGGCAAAAGTTAATGACCGAACAATTGAGGAAATTCACATAAATGGCTTCGGGGGCCTGCGGATACGGATTAGAATTGGGCACATTCGAAAGAATGTCGGAAATGCTTAGGCTGGAATCGTTTTCAGAACTAGGAACTGCGGGCATTTCAAGAAAAATGTGAAACGGATATGATTTTTGAAGGAAAGTCAATTGCAATTCGCACAACGCGATACTTCATTTTACTTACATATTACATATTTACAACCTATAAGTTAAGAAACATACTTCTTATTTCGATTTACATAGCATGAATTATAATTTAAAATTAAATAAAGTTTTGACATGCTTATCGGTACCCCAAATATATTATATAAAACTTAAGCTAATCAATCGCATATAATTTAAATTCTACAGACGACGCGCCAACTTAACAGCAGCGCTGTTATCGATAGCCAAGAAAGCAGCACCATCCAACACTGGTCACCAACAGCTGTTAATTTTCTGTAAACTAAAACAAGACCATCTCTAAAATACAAATTTTAAATATAACGATGTTTTTATGAAACTTTTAGAAATTTTTTTTTATTTATTTATTTATTCTCAGGCTAAAAGGCAATTGAGAAATTACCTATAGCCTATGCTTTTTCATTGTAGCTATAGCTATTGTGGCCTTAAAACTTTTTAGAACTTTTAGAAATACATTCATTTATAGCCTTAATATTAAATATAAAAATGTATATCCTATGAAATCTTAAAAATGTTTCCTTGCTCCCCCTCCCCGCATGTAATGAATTTATTGAGATTTGTTTGTTTCACAGGCTTTATCAATTGACTGACACGTTATGTATGGTCAGTCGCTAAGGTTCCTCCTTATCTCTTGTTACAATCGTGAGAGGAAACAAAAATAAAGCAAAATATATATTACATTATTGATTGATCTCAGGAAATCCAGCAAAAAATCTTTTTTGCTTGTAGTTGTTGTTCACCTATACTATCATTTGTTCGAGAATTATCAGCACATCGATTAAGAAAGTGAAAATTAAAGTGAGTACGAAATCTAATTGTTATCGCTCAGAAGGCTAGGACTGACCCTTTAGAAAATATTTTTTAAATCAACTAATTAAAATTTCCAGTACTCCCGCCCGACACGCACGAACACGCGCCATCACACTCTTTGATTGCCAGCGCCAATTCAAAAATCGCCGGAAGAGCGCCAAGCAGACAGCTGGATCGGACTATCGATAGCAGGGCGAAAGGCATTCGTTGGGCAGCACTGGCCGCAAAGCCGATAGGCGGCCGCGCCAATCGATAGCTGGGTCGAAGAAGGAGGAGGAGAAGCAGAGGAGAAAAACAAAAACCAATTGTGAAAAAGTGTAAAGTTTAAATCGAAGGAGAATTGTGTGGGCAAAGCGGAGGATAAACGACGAACCTGCCGAATCGAAACGAAACCTACCTTTAGACACTAGGTTTTCTAGGGCTAACCAGCGGGAGTTTTGCACCTGCTGAAAGGCACACACACACGAGCGCACTCACACACACCCAAATCGTCATTCTCCCCTTACTTTTTTTTTGCGAAATCCAAGACGAAGTCGAAATCCACAACAAATGCAGATTGGAGCTTGATTGGTTTTTTGCGATTAGTGCCGAGTCACGCGGAATCAGTATAGTTTTGGGTAGAGAGAACCGTAGCCATAATACCACGACAACCATGTCCGTGAGGACGAAGGTTCTCGGCCTGGTGGACGTGATGATGCGCGTTCCGCCGATAATGGTCATCGATGAGATCCTGAAAATCGGCATGGGCCTGCCCACGCGACTCTATCCGGACAAGGATAAGGCCGGTGCCAGCATAGACCCGCCAACGGAATCCCCACCAGAGTCATCCAACCAGAATCCCCTCGCCAGCATCAAGGAGTTCTTCGGCCTCGGCTCGGGTGATGGTCTCGCCCAAATGTCCTCCGCCGCATCCGCTCAATCTGCCCTGGAACAGACCATCGAGAACGCCTCCCGATCCGCCAAAAGCCACGGAATGCTCAGCTCCGTCTTCAACACCGTCATGGACGAACTGTCCCAGGACCAAACGCTGGCGGATGTGCTCAGCATCACCACGGTCAAGTTCGTCATCTGCCTGTTCGGTGAGTCATCCACAAGGGTCACCTAGAAACATTTCTTGGGATGGCACATACACGTCATGGTAGCAGAAACCTGGTTTAACTGCAAAATGGGTTCCGAATTTCATGGTTAAATTGTTTGTCTTGAAGCTCTATAAGTTAGTACTTGAGAAATTTGTATATTTACACACGATCCAAGATACAAGATCTTATGGGTCTAGTAATATCAATGTTAAAAATCACTTTCATTTGTTTTTATACTTGGTAACAAAAGTAAAAAGTATTTTTCGCGCACTCTATAATTGAAATTAGAATAGATAGTAAAGAAGTGGCAGATAACAAATTATCATACTGTTCTTTACCATACTTTTAATTAACATTATCATTCTGAATAGTAAATAATGTTCGCAGAACTGAATAAAATGCTTAATTCTTAAAAAAAATACTAAGTCACCAAGAAAATTATTAAAAATTAATACACTTACATATAAATGAACAATTTCCTTTTTAATAAGCATGTATAAAACTAGAAACGTAAACACAGTCAATTAAAGTATTCAAAGTTCAGTTTTTTCGACCTGCTGACTAAACCATCTGAAATTCCAAGGGCCGCTTATCGTGCGTACTTTGCACACCAATAAAACGTAAATACTTGACTCATTATCTGCGTGGTTTTCAGGTTTCCTGTCCGCCGCTTGCATCTTCATGCTCTGGACCCGCCACCTGGTGATGGTCTACATGTTCCTCACCTCACTGGGCCTCACCTTCCTGTCCTACTGGTCAAATGTTAGTGCGCTGGCGCTGATGGAGCGGAGTCCCAGCATACTGGAGGATCTGATGTCGCTCAACACCACGAGATTACTCGATTCGGGCGGGGTGGTCATGTCGCTGGCGCCGCATCTGATGGCCCAGTGGTTCATGGGCATGCTGTTCGCCTACATCCACCTGGGTCCGAGATACGAGATGCTCCAGAAATCGATGCCCATCATCTTCGCTAGTCCAATTCTGGTGGCCATGCTTCCACTGCCGCCAAAAATTGTGCAACAGCTGCCAGTGGTGGCCGGATTTACGCCTATCGTCCTCACGAAGATCACGCTGATGCACAGCGCCATGGAGGCGAGTCGTACGGTCTACAACGGGTATCAGTACGCCCTGAACTTTGTGTCCAACTTTGGACTGTCGGCGCTCATAGAGAATGAATGGCAAAGGCTGAATGTGCCCAACGTTTTGAGGGTTTTTTGGACCATCAGGTGGGTCTCACAAGTGGTTCAATAATTTATGTTAATCAAGGCCATGGAACATTCTAATTTACGCATTTACCTAGATTGTAAATGTGCCAGTGGAACATGGCCATAAGTCACCATATATATCTAATTAGAGCTTTGGTAACCAGTTCATCTGGCCTTGACTTAACTTATTAAAAACATAGTAAACTAATTATATCTTTAAATTTATAGAATCATTCAAGGCGGCTATGCTTTGGCCACGACCGAGCCCGAGGAGGCCCTGGAACTAATGCCGGCTACACAGAAGCTGCTCGTCGATGGCTGTGAAACCCTGACGGCGGTGTTGGGAATGACCGGCGTCATCTCAATGATCTGCCACTACATCGGACGCGGCTTTCAGTGGTACCTGCTGACCTACGACAACGACGAGGAGAAGTCGCTGGGCACCGTCTCGGCAGTGCTCTTCTACATCCTTGCTCTGCAGACGGGATTGACCTCCCTGTCGCCGGACAAACGCTTCATTAGGCTGTGCCGTAATCTGTGCCTGCTGATGACCGCTCTGCTGCACTTTCTCCACAACATCGTCTCGCCCATTCTGATGTCGTTAAGTGCGGCCCGGAACCCCTCGCGAAAACGTCATGTGCGAGCCCTAACCGTCTGCGCTTTCCTCGTGGTGATGCCCGTATCCCTGCTATACTACCTCTGGTCACAGCGATCCATATCAACCTGGCTGCTGGCGGTAACCGCCTTCTCCGTCGAGGTGATCGTCAAGGTGGGTGAAAATTTGTTCTCTAACGAAACACTGATTAACTTATCATACATCTTTTTGCAGGTGCTCGTCTCGCTGGCCACCTACACGCTCTTCCTGCTGGACGCTCGCCGTCAGTTCTTCTGGGAGAAACTCGACGACTACCTGTACTACGTGCGTGCTTTTGGCAACTCCGTGGAGTTCTGTTTCGGCATCTTGCTGTTCATCAACGGTGCTTGGATCCTAATCTTCGAATCGGGTAAGTCGTCGTGCAGCGTCCCCTGTCCCTGTTACATTAACACATGAGTAAGCGATTCCATCGCCGCATTTCATTGGCATTTGTGCATCGGATCCGGATCTCGAATCCACCTTGTCCGCGTCCAGCTTTTCTGTTCTGTGTGTGCATGTAATATTTTTATTTGGTTGATTTTGTGTACCGATAAATATAACTTGATAGCCCAAAATGCTACAGGCGGCGCCATCAGAGCGATCATGATGTGCATCCATGCCTACTTTAACATCTGGTGCGAGGCCCGGGCGGGATGGTCGGTATTCATGAAGCGGCGTTCGGCTGTCCACAAGATCTCTTCCCTGCCGGAGGCAACTCCTGCCCAGCTGCAGGCATTCGACGATGTCTGCGCCATTTGCTATCAGGTTGGTATTTAATTACAGTGTAATCCAGTTCAGCATATCTAAACTTTATTTTTATTTCAATCAGGAAATGTATTCTGCCAAGATCACGCGGTGTCGTCACTTCTTCCATGGCGTCTGCCTGCGCAAGTGGTTGTATGTCCAGGATCGTTGCCCCTTGTGCCACGAGATCATGATGTATACGGACAAGGCAGAGGAAAATGCACAGGAGGCGGAGCCAGCGGCGGTTGCCCAGGCTGAACAGCCACTTCGTATTTACCCGCGAGACGTGAGTAAAAAACGGGGGGATAATCCTGCTATGGGAAAATACTTTAAAAGTGGCAACTTGTGAATATATAATATATTAATTTTGCTTGTGAGGGTTGTTACCTACAATATTTGGACATTTCGAACTGATAATAATACTTACCTCTTGGTCTTTCAGGACGGAAACATCGCTGCTGCGCCGCGACGCTCGCCAGAGCGAGTTCCTGTCGAGGTGCCAGAGGCGGCCGCCACCTCTTCCAATGCAGCAGCGGTGATCGGGCTGGAGGCAGCAGCTGCCATTGTGGAGACCGCAGCGGCCGTTGCGGAGGCGAGGTCTCTGTCCAACGTTTCCAGCAACGCCACTCAAAGAATCAACGCCAGCGAGAGCAGTGACGGCAGCTTCATCTCAGCATCCAGCCAACAGCCTCCGCCGACGGCAACATCGGCTGCTGCTGTGGCCACGGCGGCGGCCAGCAATACGACGCACATGTTCCGGATGTCGCAGGACCAGCAGTAATAGGATCGGATCGGAACGGGAGCGCTCGGCGTACCTTGTTTTTCTTATATATCTTACTACTTGGAAATGTACTGTGTGTTAGTGTACTTATGTAAAAATTGCAAATCTTTGTAGCGATCCAAGGCTTCTCTATTCCTTTAAAGAGCAATCTATTCCTATCACACAACGACACACACTCCCTAGAACACAAAAACAAAACAAAAAAACACGACAAATAACACTCACACCTTCGATCCTCATAGGCACAGACATTTACGTATAAATAAAACACGCAGCCATGCTTAATTAAATTATATACCATGCATATAATAGCGCGCTGAACGATAATGAGACGATAATTGAACCAGAGATCTATGTACGTTAAGTTTATGGTAAAAAGATGATCCAAAAATGTTGAAACACACACAAAAAAAATTAGCCCTAAGTTTGCAGCGGATAAAAACAGTGTAAAAATACCATCAGCGGATAGAAAACAAACAAAAAAAAACAAGAACGATAAACAAACATTTTATGTGGTGAAGTCTGAAAATGATTTAATCAAGTTACCAAGTAATCTAGTTAAAAACATAACACGAAATCAACACAGATGAAAAATGAGAGCAAAATGATTTGAGTTGTATAATTTTGTAATGTAAAAATAACTTGAATAAGAAAATCCTTGTTTTGTTTTTTTATTTAAATTACCTACGTACGTTTATTTAGATTTAATGTAATTAAACGAAAGAAGCGGAAAATACAGAAAACATTAAAAACAGTCTAATGTAAGTGAAAACACACAGAAACAATTGTTGTGTTGCCTTTTGACTAGAGATGTGGGTAACCGGATTTCGTTTAACAATCATAGTAACCCGATACACAGTGTGTTTCAAAACTGTAAGATTTTAAAATATTAATTTTCTTCTGTATTAACTGAAATTAACTATTTTTTAATTGCCTTTTTTATATCCAACTTTAAGCTTTGAAACGCATTGTATAGCCCACATTATGCCTCAGTTGAAAATCAGATCATTGTAGTTGCGGAGCAGATGATAAGGTGACACCCGACAACAGGTGGTAGTGCGGACCACGGTGATACGATCGGCACGTTCGAAATTGGCTTTAACCGTCTCGTAATAGCGACCATCGCTGGAAAAAAGTAGTATTATTAAAATGTAATAACTAAGTAATCGAAGGAAACCCACCTGAGCACCATGCATCGCAATTTGAGACACTTCACACGCAGTATATCAATGGCCTTTTGGCTTTTGTCGGAGAATCGCAGATTATCCGGATCCCAACGCAATTCCAAACGCTCCAAGTTGCCACAATTAGACGCTATGGTGTCCATCAGTTGGTCCACATGGATATTGACGCCCAACTTTTCAGCAGTGCCCATGACAATGATCCTAAAGGGTAAGATAAAAATGTAATATATTATAAATCTATTCTTAATAAAATCTCTTACTTGCAGTTGCCCAGCAAGGGAAGGATACTCATCCACAACTGATCTGTGATGTGGGGCATTCCGGAGAGGCAACAGGCGCTCAGTTGGTGACCCTGACGCTGTATAAACTTCAGGAGACCTTCATCCGTGATGTTGTCTGAAGAGTCCAAGTCCAGGGAAATAAGAGATCTGAACGGGTAATATTATTATAGTATTTCAGTAAAGAAATTTTAATTTAATAAGTTAAATCTTTTTATTTCAGCCCACCTGGTAGTGCCCGATTCCATCCATTGTTTGAGAACGCTATCATTAAATCCATTGATCTGTCCGGCGGATAGGAACTTCAAGCTGGGGATCCTGGTTAGCATATCCACCAGGCACTCTGGTGAAAGATCAGTGGCCGTAATATCCAGTTCCTGCAGGGCGCACTTGTCCCACTCGGCCTGCATCACAAATTCGGACTTCAAGCTGGTGCCATTCATCAGCAGGCAGGTCAGGCGCTTGGATCTCTGGATCAGGGTCTTCAATGTGGAACCGGTGACCTTGTTGCAGAAGTTAACAGCCAGACACTCCAGCTGGATGCAGTTGGAGCTGAAGGCATCGATGTGGGAGTCATCGATGAAGTTGATGCCGTACAGATTGATCACCCGCAAATTCGGAGTGGCCGACTTGAGCTTGTGAACGTTGATGACCTCGTAGATCTCCTCCTCCTCCTCCTCGCACTTCTCATAGGTGCCAATCAAATGAAGCACCTCCAATCCGTTTATGAAGTTGTAGATCTTGCGCATGAAGCCCTCCATGAAGATCACCTCGGAGAGACAGACGCACATGTACCGGAGCTTGGTGGGAAAGGCCTGCATCTCGCTGAAATCGTGCAGCTGCATGGCTAAAAATATATAACTATTTAATTTAATTAAATCAAATCAACTATAATTACCTACCTGTGGAGAAATCCAACAGCATGTGTGTCAAGTTTGGGCACTTGGCAGACAGTTCGTGCAGCACCGTGTGCGTGATCAGCTCGATGGGCAGCTCGATATAGCGCAGCGTAGGACCAAATCTTACGGATATCAGCTGGAGCAGCATCTCCAGGGAGCCCACATGCAAACCAGAGACCTCCGGCCGCAAGGATACATTTTTCCAGAGACGAGTATCGTAGGCAATCTGGCGCCATCGACGACAAATCCGGGCCAGGCGACAGATCTCCCGGTGCGACAAGTACGAGAAGATGTGCAGCAGCACCTTGTCGGGTAGCTTTTCGATGGTCTGTGGGCAAGACAAATAGTATAATTACACAGGAAAAAAGTAATTAAAAATTTATTTATTGGGTGTTTATTTCATTCAAGAATTACTCATTCTTCCCTTACTTGTTCTCTGTATTAAATTTTATTTAGATAAATTTAATTGTATTTTAAGATAGATTTTGAATACTTTTTAACATCAACCAAATACTAATATTTGAGTGACTGCAAAAAAATAGAATCAAAGTTATTGGTTCTCTTAGGACCAAATGTTTTGATCAAGTTCGGTATAGTTCAACATATATGAATATATGGCACCTCAGATTTTTTATATATTTTTCGCTTGAGTGTATTTTATAGCTCTCTCTTCTTTTCAGAGAAATATCTCTCCTGGTATCTGGCAAATCGAGTGAGGACTCAAAGTAATATTGAAAACTCGTACCGTATCGGCGAATGGACTGCGAACTGTGCCATCGGACAGGTAAACCTGCGAGGCCTCGACGGCCAGCTGACCCCAGATATCGGTGGAAATATCCATTCCTTAGGCCACTCGGGTATATAGAGCTGATTGGAAAGCACTTGCTTATATAAAATATAGGTAAAAACGGAGGCAACTACGCGTGGTCTGGCCTGCCAGCTGAATATCCGTCGGACTGAGCTACTTTCGCGCTACTGCGAGACGGATTCCCATCGACATCGCCATCGGAATCTCCAAAAGAACCGCCAGGCAATAGACTCAAGAGAACCAGGGTCCTATTTATAGACGAGCGCTAGTAACGAGAGCAGTGGCAGATCTGTCTCGGATGCATCAGCTGTTCATAGGCCCCGCACCACTTACGCACTCTCCCAGAACCACCCGACCACCGAACCACCCACCCGGTGGGGCACTTTGAGAAACATTCACTACCATACAATAAATGTGAGTAAAAGTATGCAACAATTTATTTTGAATACAATGTTCTATGAATAAATTCCAAAAAATTGACTCCCGCTTTTTAAAGCATACTTTTGGACGCCTATTTTAATTTGTGCTATTACTGAAGTAACAAAAGTAATGATCCTATTCCTGCAAGGTTATACATTTTCCAAAAAGTAATGTAGTCTTACTCGAGTTCTAATAGATTGAAGATTATCTATTTATTTTAAGGTTGTCCTAACATTTAATGATCGATTTATTTCTCAGTGTCAGCCAAGGTATATAAAAACGCATGTTGTTTGTTGCCAAGACTTCTATATATACGCGATCAGTCGGCTGGGTTTGTTTTGTTTACTATATCTCTACATAGCACTTACCAGTCTCGTCTTCACCACCCCGAGTCATGAAGTCCGATGGCCTGCGATGAGGTTTGCGCTGCCAAAACATTCCAATTATCCATCGTGGGCACTGTTCTAACTCTTGGATCGGATCAGCCGGGAAATTTTCTGTGTCTTCTGTTGTATAATATATAAGGTTTTTCTGGACCCGTGTAGTTCTAGTTCTATCTGTGGGAAATATGCAGACAGGCGCCGGTTTGTGTTGTTGTAGGAATATTTTGCAGGCGAAGTCTATAAGTAGCAAGCATTCATTCAAGAGATAAGCAATTTCTACGAGGCTTCCCCGATTAGTCACGTGGAATTCTAAGCGGTTTTTAGATTACTTAATTATTTAAGTAATAAATACAAAAAATATTTTTAAATTAAATATGTTATCTTACATTTAATGCCTAATTAAGCCATTCCTTAGCAAATTAAATATCCAAGTTGGGTTAAAAGCGTCACAAAAACACATAATTACCCATTTGATTAATTGATCAAAGAAAATTGTTAGACACACTCTACAAATAAACGAGCACGAGAACAAAAGCCATTAATTAATTACTTGTTGCCTTGTCTCGAACTGCAGTCAGTTGATTAAAATAGCGAAATTACAACAATGGCACAGGCGAATTATGCAAAATTAAGTGAACATTTTTTTTGTGATCTTTTGATTTGCGAGTACACATCAAAATTTTGTTCACCCTTTGCCTGGGTTATTTATAGTCCCATTCGCCTGGTTCTGGTCGCAAATTGGTGAGGATGCTAGTTCATGCCTCGAAAATCACCGAAAAAAAAACAATGCAATTTCGTAACTTTCGCACAACAATGTGGGGGGTCGAAAATACTTGGCGATTTCACTTTTTCGATGGCAAATTACTGGCAAATTGCATGCAAGAATCCGGCGAAAATCGATGGGTTTTACGGCATTACATGGGCGAAATTTTCCGCGTTCTCGACGGCTCCACAACTCTCTGGCAACTGAGAAAATCAGGCGTCCGCGGAAAATGGTTTATGCCAAAATCCACTCGGCTAGTTGGTCGTACTCTACAGATATGTGGGATTTGGAGGGGTTATTGGGGGGCGATCTCTGTACAAAGAGCGAGTGCAGGCGTCATTTGGCGCAGTCGGCAGACACAGACATGGCAAATGTTTTCCCATGGCGACCGGCCAACAGGGGGGCCATTCTCTAGGGGGCGTGACCGATCATTGGGAAACGGATACTATAGTATTACATTTGGGCCATTAAAAAATATATACTACTTACTTTTCGGGGTCATTTTCTACATGGAATGGGAAGAAATTAAATTCTATGATTTTAACTTAAAATAGAAGTCTTGAACAAAATGTATGTTCTTTTCCATTTCAATTTCAATAAAAAGGAACAAAGGGATATGTTAATTTGAGATTATTGACAAAATTTCCCGCCTCTGTTATAAACAGCAAAAGTAATTCCTATAACAAGTCTATTCCCGAAGTACGTTACAAATTTTTGGATGGTTACTTCACTGGTAATAAATTTATTATTAAATTTTTCAATATATTTTTAAATAAAATATTTTTGTAATTTATATATCACAAACTTGTTAAATTTTTTGAAGTATGGTACTACTACCAGTTATTATAAGCACTTTTAAAATGGTTATTATGCTTTTTCATTGTCAAATTTATTTCGAAAATTAATTTTCCAGCAAAGCTGTTAATAAGAAGTTACATGTGTACATAACTTGTATGGATTTAAATGGGGATCCTGACTACATCGAGGATTTCAATTCCGTAGTCCTTGTTCTTTTGCACAAAGCTCTGGGTCCAATCGCCTCTCAAACATCCGCCATCGCAGTTGCAGCCAAAAATGTTGCACGATGCCTGTCCGCAATATGTGCCCACCTGTTTCACTCCATCCGCGCAAATGGTGATTTCGCACCTGTGGGGATTGTACCCACTTCCTCCAACATCCTCGCATTCTCCCCTGTCCATCTTATAGGTCACTTCTTCCCAGGAGTTGCAGCATTCAGCCGCGGACTGGTCGATGAGGGCCAGGCAGCAGATCCCGATGAGGAGTAGAGAAACTAGTGGAGATGCCATGGCTAGATGCTTTGGGGTAACTGATGCCTTCTCCTCGCTAATTCCCGATTTTATATGCTCTCCAGCGGCACCTATATCGCCGAGGTTGCAAATATTTCCAAAGTTATTCGGAAAATTGATAACTACTATTTAGAATCTAGTCAAAAACAACAGAAAACGCATGCGGTTTCAATGATTATGAGATTGTGAGGCGAATAATAACATTTCTCTTGAATTGTGGGTTCAAATTGCTGTGACCTGGAAACTATGACACCGAGTTCCGGGAACTTATAAAATTTTGGGAAAAATGATAGGTCCCCGATTCAAAGAAGGAGCATAAAGTATAAAATAAAGCTAAAAATAGAGAATGATTGAAATTCGCCATTATTGTTGATTTCGTAGCCCCTGTTTATTTGTACAAAAACAGAGCACAGACTAAACCAGGAACAGACTCTGTTTATATCTCATTTTGCAGATTATTTTAATATTTTCAAAATATCGATTTCTGTGACACCCTCAACAAATAGTACATTTTATAGTAATTTATTATTCAATGCTCATACAAAACTTAAACTTCTATAGCAGCGGCGGATCTGAAGAAACATTTTTGAGGTGTTTTTTTCGATTTGGGGGACATTTTCGGCATTCAGGTTTGTTCAGAATTTTTTATAACAATCATGTTTATTTTTTGAGGGAAATATAGCCCTTCGCCCCAGTAATGAATTTCCTCTAGGGTTTCGATCCCGTACCCCAAGTTCCTCTGCAAAAAGCTCTGGGTCCATTCGCCTTTTAAACATTCGGCATCGCAATTGCAACCAAAAGTGTTGCACGACCCTTGGCCAAAAACCAAAAACTTATCATTATACATCAAAAACGTTATATGTATTTGTTGCAAATCACATTAAATTACATTTATTATTGAAAATATTTGAATCAAGGTTGATCATATATATGTACTTTGAAGACTGTAATCAGCTCTAGTAAGGGGACATCCTGTTAACCTTGATGACTTTTACTCCGTAGATTTCGTATCTCTCCGCAAAGGTTCGGGACCAGTCGCCTTCCAAGCATCCGCCATCGCAGTTGCAGCCAAAAACGTTGCACGATCCCTGGCCACAAAACATGCCCACCTGGGCCAGTCCATCGGCGCAGATCAGGAGTTCGCAAGTGTCGCGACCGACTGCATATCCTCCCACATCCTTGCAGTTTCCCCTCTCCATAGTAAAGGTCACTTCCTCCTTGGTGGCGCAACACACAGCCGAGGACTTGTGGACGAGGGCCAGACAGCAGATCCCGATGAGGAGTAGAGAAACTAGTGGAGATGCCATGGTAAGATGTTTTGAGGAAACTGATGATTTCCCCTCGGAAAATCGCGATTTTATATACCATCCATTGGCATCTATTTCGCTGAGGTTGCAAACATTTTCAAAGTTATTGGGAAAACTGATAACTACCCAGTTCAAACGATTTTTCTTGATAATTCAAAACTATTTAAAAACGCGCGGCTTTAAGAGATAAGCGCTAAAATTGTTATATTTTGAGGTCCAATAATAATAATTTTATTTTAGGATTAGTAACGATTCCCAAAAAAAACCTGTGTACATATTATGCACTAGATAAGCTGGATTGAATCAATTGTGAAAGATCTTATTATTTAAAAGTGTGAATGGTTAATTTATAACGATCACCAGTAACGGAAGTTAAATTTGAATATGAACGATTGGCGTTGCCAGGTTGGTTAAACATATCGCACATAATATCGTGCTTAAGCACCACCGCTCTGGCCAAGCTGTTCTGATCAGAAACCATTGCCATAACAACCGTTGTTTTCAGTCGTTTTTCCACCGCCCAACCGTTCAGTTGCTGCTCGCCTTGCTCGTTGCACCTGAGCCTATCTCTGTCTCCCTCTCTTGCGGTGATATCGATAAACGTAGGTGTGCCTGCAGTGCGCCTGTGTGCGTGTATGTGTCAGCAGCGGAGTTTTGTTGTTTATTAGTTAGTTCTGTAAGAAATGTGATATTTAAGAAGGTTTTTTAAACAATTAACAGCTTTATTCGACTGAAAGTGATCGCAGCAACTGGCATTCGAAAGTAACAAAAGCCAGAATTAAGTTTGTTTATATTTGGTACAGTGCGCGTTGCAACCAGTTTTGTGGGTGTGTGTGTGTGTTTTGAAGAGAGACGCCCAAAACAGTTTTTGTTGTAAAACCTATCGAATTATAGAACTTCATACCATTTCAAAACAAACTGTTTTTAATAATAGTAGATACTTTTTTACTTAACCAATATGATCTTATCTTTAAATATTAGGATTAGAGGAACACCAAATAAAATTCTAAGTTATTAGCGATGGTCACGGTCTTGAAAATATTACCCTTTAAAGTCTTAAGATAGAATTGCAAAATAAACTTTCAATTCTCCCTTTTAAAGCTATTAATATTTATGAAATGTATTTTATTGGCAGGAGGAAAAAACCTCAATCATAGAAATGTACTTCCCCCTCTTTAAGAAAATGAGTAACGAATTCCTGACCATCCACAATTCCTCTTAAGCAATTGTCGTAAGCGAATTAGGTGTAATTACAATTATGTGGAATTAGAGTGCTCGAAAAGTACCCAATTAATTAGGGCTAAGCCAATTGAGTGGCTACCCCACGGATTCCCAAAGATAGCTTAGGCTTATAAATATTTTCCATCTTTATATGGCTAAATATTTTATTTTAGATCTTGTATCAAAAATCCTTACTAAAGCAGATTACTTATTTCAGGCTCTCTGATCCACCGACCCACCCATCAAGATGTCGTACTCAGCGGAGCGAGCCTTGTCCTTTCTGTACCCCCTGGCGATCGTATCCTCGCTATTCTGCTGCATCTCATCGGCGGTGGCCTGGTCGCACTGGCGATACGTCCTGAATGCCTGCCCGGACACCAATTGCGGATGCGTGCTCCACAGCAGGAGCACCTACAATAGCTTCGAGGGCGGAAACATCGCCTATTGCCACTTTGCCACCTATGGCCTCCTGCTGCCCCTCCTCTTCGCCGTTGTGCTGGGCGTCTATCACGGATATCGGATGTGCATCGGGCGTGGCAAGCCCAAGGCGGGCACGGCCACCATCCGGCAGCGGTAAGAGTTCCCATTCCGATCGAGTGTCTGGGGGTCAAGTGGGGGTTAATCGGCTTGCCGCATTTGTTTGCTCGCCAACATGGGGCGACTAGTTTGGCCTTATGCTAATGATGACCACGCTGCGGATGAGTAACGCAGCAATATGCCAAATGCCCCAATAAATCAATTAAGCACTGGAGAAGTTTCTTTAAAATGGTATACTATGTGTATTTGGAAACCGTAGTTAAGGGTCATTTAAAATAGAACATTGGCTTATGTTTAACTATGTTTTTGCTACTTTCCCAACAGCTCTGGCGACATGATTGTGGTGACCACCGAGTCCGAACTTACACCAGATGGCCTCTCTCCTTACTACTGTGAGTAGTTCATAAGAATCCTGGTATTTTAAAATAGTAATAATGAATTATGTTTTTTAGGGCTGCCTGCCACGGTAATCTCAGTGATAATGGCCATCTACCAACTGATCTATTCATCTATATTCACCGACGGATTTGAGGTGACCTGCAAGCAGTACAGGGAATCGCTTTTGAAGGAAATCCAGGGTGTGGGCAACATAGTGCCCGTGATCAAATCCCGTCTGTCGTGTGCAGCCGTCTTCGATTTCATGGACTATTTGGTGGAGAGTGTTTCCTACGAACGAAGGCGCTATGGACGCATTAACACAGCTGCATGTCTGTATATTACTCTGGTATTCGCCTGGATAGCTTTGTTTGCCTGGTTGATCATCTGCGTGATCAATGTCATTCATCTGCGACGCACTAAAGCCGCCAGAGTTTAAGGGTGCCAGGCCAGGAGCTTGATAATCCTGACTACATCAAATTGGAATTGAAGAATCGTAAACGAAACACAAATTCCCCCCGCACATTCGCCTTATATTTAATCGTAGCCTTACGAAGCGCCACTTATTTATTAGTAGACACACATCGATTACGTCCACGGTGCAAACCGCCATTTAAAAGCATTGTACAAATAAATGTATGAACAACGAACGATTAATTAAATCACGACAATACTTGTACTACTCGTTTTTTTAATTGTGCTACAGAAGTATTGGATAACTTATGCGTTTAGATTTTTGTTTCAATCTGTCGGCATGTTTAATAATAAAGGCCTAATATTTTATTGCCATTTTAGGTTTCCTCATCTTAAAATTTCCGTTTCAAAAATGTTTGTTAGTGATGGTACTTTTAAAATGCGCCGTGCGATAGTTAAGGTGTATGTCTCCGCTATATTGGTATGATGTATCGGCTATATTCGATTAACTTAGCGATGGCAAATCTACATACTATGAAATCGTCAGACGAAATCGATAAACTATCGATGCTTTTTCACATCACTAAACGCTGACGTGCCGCAAAAAATTGTTTACGTGAAAACTAGAAAGATAAAATAGAAATACCGAACAAAATGCTTGACATTCAGACACATATGGTGGGTTTTTGTATTCTTTAAACCCTAGAGATATGTTAAGCCCTTTTATCACAGGACTTTGCCGGCCAGGGAAAAGCGGAGCGTTGGTCCCGGTTCATCATTACATTTTTCGGGATTGTCGGCCTGATTTACGGAGCCTTTGTACAGCAATTTTCACAAACTGTTTATATCCTGGGAGCAGGATTCGTGCTCTCCTCCTTGGTGAGTTCCTCTGACCATAAACCGCCGCATTTATAACACGCTATTATCCCTTTTCAGATCACCATTCCACCCTGGCCCTTGTACCGTCGCAATGCCCTCAAATGGCAGAAACCCATTGAAACGGATGCCAAATCCTCCAGTTCCGAATCCGGGGATGAGGGCAAGAAGAAGAAGAAGTAGTCTTAGCCAACAGTAACGTGTATTTCTCATTATCCAATATAATATACACTTAAAAAACTAGATGGGACGTCGGTAGGATATCAGATCGTTATGATCGTAGTACTTGTGGATGAGATCGTACATGTTGGCGAAGAAAAACAGGAGATTGTCATATTGTCCGTTGTAGGGGGACATCCTACCTACATCCTCGATGAAAGAGTCTATCTTTAGGGGGGCTGCCAGTTGATGGAAGCCTTCTGTGATCTCCAGATTATCCAATCCCCTATATCCGCAGTTCAGACCCCACGCATTTATGTGCACTTCCAGGAGGAACTGATGGATGGCTTCAATGGTGGCCAAATACCAACGTGGACTGCCCCGTTGATGTCGCCAAAATTGGGATAGCCGGTTTTGTAGAACCACGGTTCTTAGACTCCGAATCCTTTCATCTGCGTAGATCCCACGACTCTGGTTCCAAGTGCTGTCTATGAAAACAGCTCGACGGATGGGCAGGTTATCTAGGGTCCAGGTTTTCTTGGGCGATTTCTGATCACCTGAATGGGGTTCCTGCACCTCCACCTCATCCATTCTCCTCCTCAGCATGGTGCCCATATGATGGCCCTTTGGCAGTCCATAGTTATCACCTATCTGCAGTTGGACATTCCGCTCAAATAGCTGGGGAACCGTCAAGGCGGTGGCACTGGGAAAGATTAGAACCACTCCTGGCTCCTCCCGGTAATCTGGGATATCCGGGAAAGTATAGATCCTCACGTGTTCCGGCGCCAAAACAGCCGCATGTACCGCCGAACTTTTGCCATCTATTTCCTTTTTGTGCTTGATGATGTCTATTTTCAGGGGTAACTCCAGACGTGGCAGTACCTCCTCCAATTCTCCAACAGGGATATAGCAACTATAGCAGAAAAACTTCCGTGAACGATTGCAAAGTCTGCAATTGTGGCGTCCCTCGATGGTATCCAGTATTGTGTGATCCGAGATCCGCATATTCACAAAGGGATATTTGCGGGTTCGCTGCTGGCCATCCAAAGGATGCGTCATTTTAGCGGAAATCTCTAATAAATATTTAAAACTATAAATAACAAATTTCTAATACAAATTGGCAATAAATTTATCGATAACAATCAGCTGATCAGACCAGGGCTGGCAAAGACACAAAACACATGTGCGCTGGAATGACCCAAATGGAATGTCAAGTAAATGTAAAATGTCTGACAGACACTTAAAAAAATGTAATATAATAATAAGCTCAATAAAATATTTGTACTATTTTCTTTTTTAATAACAAGATGGTTTTAGTTTTTTAATGTTAATAAAACTACTTACAAAGTGTAAGTAATATCAGAAATTAATTATCCATCCCTGACTTCATGAGTAAATCGAACGGCCACACTACACAAACAAACAAAACAAAAGCCGGCAAAATTGTGCAAAAAATAACAAAGCCCAAAAATATTCTATTTCCTACTGAAGAAATGTAAAAAATAATGCGTGGCATTCGCAAGTGTGTTCACTGTGGTGCCATCAATGGAAATCGGGCTCAGGTCTGCCGAAACGTCGAGTGTCCGCAACGCAGGAACGTTTTGGATGCCGTGCAGTTGGTTTCCCTGCGGCCAGGCTCCACTGTCTACTCCTTGCGGACCAAGGAGAAGGAGCAACAGCCGCGAAACTTCGTGGTCATACGGGATGTCACCCTGTCCCTGCAGCCAGATGCTGCAGTGGTGTCCAGCACGGCCGACTGCTATGTGGAGTCCTGCAAGAAGTCGGGAGGGGAATCCTCCGATTGCGTCCATGTGAAGGCCTGTAGGGAACTGGGCACGGAGTTCCCAAAGGCCCAGGTGTACCGGGTGTCCGCGAGGTCCTGTGGAACTTGAACATCAACCAGGAGCAGAAGCAGCACCTCTGGCATCTCTATAAATACGCCGAGGAAGAGGAGCATCTGCCTGGAGTCCAGCGATTGAATCACACCACATTCGCCGTGAAATGCGAACGCTCCGAATCCTTTCCAGCCGCCCGGCTACATGTCACCGTTCTGGCCAACGGCCTGTCCAAAAAGAAGGGCAGTTACGCCTGCGCCTGCCGGAAACTAAAGATCATAGTGGAACCGGACAACTCCCTGGTGATGCAGGACGAGATCTGTGACCATTTGTTGCTAGTTTTAGCCGGGATCCTTAGCTCTCCCCAGGGAAAACGGGTTTATGGCCACTTCACCAGTGGTTTGCAGAACTTCTGGATGCCCTCGCAGCTGGAAACGCCACTGGGAGACGTGGCCACCGAGGATTTAAGGCTCAGTTTGAGTATGGTAGATGAATTCGATCCTCAGGTCGACATTCTCGTCTTCGGGGATCAGCTGGATGTAAGTTAAACCTTTCAGATACATCCTTATTAGTACCCTTTTAAATCCTTTCCTGTTTCCACAGCTTCCCTTGCCGGATCTCACTGATGGCGTCTTTAATCTAGACAACATGCAGGCAGCCACCTCTAGTCACACCACTTCCAATACCAACGATGCCTTGATCCACTATGCGAACGACTCCCAGCTGCTGTCCAATTGCGATGTCTATGCAGAGCCCATTGAGTTAACAGATTGCAACATAGAACTGATGGATCAGTTTCAGCCGACGGATCAGCTTGACATTTGCAGCGAGGACATCGAACTGCCGCTGATCAGTGAACCTTATAATATTCTAGCTGCTCCACCCATTTTTACGGAAGCCACGCCTTCAGTGGTCACCGATCAACTGCCCATTGAATTGGCCACCATTTCGGTGGTTAAAAAAACTCCAGTCAAGTTCTCAGAAATTGTGACAGAAGTTAAATCCGTAAAGCAGCCCGCTTTGCCCGCCAAAAGGGAGTTGATAGTAAATAAAACAGCCTCAGCAACATCAGTTAAGGATACTTTAAGTGTAGATGCTTCTATTCAGCCAGCTTTATCCTACTCAGCATGGCTGGATCATGTGATAGAGCTGCTAAACGAAAGATTCGAGCCAATAGAAACTCCTGGGGTTGCACTAACAAAGCGCTTAGTCCAACAAACTTCCATGTGCACAAGGTAAGTTGCGGGTATATTTTTTGTTCTCTACTTACCATGCTTTTTATATTACCTTACAGGATACATTTTCGCACTTCTGCAAAAGCTTCAGTACTGGCGTCAAACGACGACCCTTGGATAAGATTACTGTGATAGAATCGGGCAAATACAAAGGCCTCAACAAGTACACTTGGCATTTTGCGAGTTCTCACACTGTGAAGCGCATATTCAGTACCACAAATATTGGGCTGCAGTTGGATTGCGCCTTCGAGCGCCATGCAGACGGTAATTTTGTGCCATATGTGCGCCCAGCTACCGAACCACATGTTCCAGGTCAGGTGAAAAAGCGTGTAGTCTACCCCAGACTCAGGCTTTATATGGTTAAGATAGTCTTCGAAGTGGCTCCAAAGGTGAGTTAAGACTTGATCTGATCTGGTCCCATAACTAATGGTAAATTATGAACCCCCCTCCTTTCAGGATCATTCCGGCAATGGACTCCTGTTGACCTGGATACCGGATGTCCTGCCCCGCAGCCATTTCGGCCTGATGCACGTGGAGTTTACAGTGGAGACACGATCGCCCAGCTAGGGTTAGTTTGCAATTTGATGTTCTTTATTTTGACGCTTTCAATTTTGTCTGTTCCATTTATCTTTAGTCCATTTCAACTTTTCATTGGCTTACGAGTAGCTTAGGTGTACATACATATACATACATATCTTTATATATCATTAATTTTGTTTATCGCGAGACGTTTTCCGATTTTGATATCGGATCCTCCTGCTCTCAATTGCCTCTACAAGCTGCGGGAAAGTCCCTACTTTGTGGGTCTGTAAGGGGGGCAAATTCTTCGTTCTTTAAAATCTATGGTCTGCCTCTGGGGTATTTATCTTCGTCTATTTGCTTAGCTCTAAAATCGTGGGCATGCTTACTTAAGTTCTCGCTACATTCAGCTCTTTCTTATGAATCTTTCTTTAATATTTCTTTTTTTTTGTGTATTTTTTTATGTGTTTTTCTTTTAATTGTTTACGCTTAACTTTGACATTCATCACATTTATAAATTGCATAACACCGTCAATTAGATAATCTGTTGTATCTGTTGTTTTGTATCGTTTTCAATTACTTTAGTTAATGTGTGAAGGTAGTTTAGTCGTGGAAAGGTTTCCATTTGCTCGAAAAGTGTGTGCAGTTTTTAATTGGGGGATTTCTGTAGAACTCTGTGTGATCATTGCTCCTTTGCAATGATGTCGATTAAGCTTTTCTTTGGCTGTGACCTACGCCACACACATACAACATTATGTACATAATGTATAGAAATATCCACCTATAGTTTCTTCGTACATGCTACTATTTATGTGTTTAACAGTTAAAATGCATAGTTTTTCCTTCTCAATATTGTATCGAAATAATATGATTCTTGTTGTTATATTACAGATGAAGCATTTGTTACCATTGCCAGTGTCAGTATGAGAAATTTACAAGCCTTTCTAGCATATAAGTGGTCTTAGCCTACGTCGGGTTAGTGCCTAAGAAACATAATCTCACAAAAATTGGTCATTAGTTGGTTAATATGTAGAGCCGCCTATTTGGTATCAGCTGACAAATGATTGGATTGAAATGCTCTCGCTTTGATACGATTAAGATTGAAGGGTGCTCCCACCCGAATCAAACCCATCTACCATCTACATATATCCTCCAGTAGTCTGACTACATTCGATTGGGTGGACACGGGATAAATCTAAGAGGAAACTGAAGGACCTTTGACATTCGTTCATTTACATAATCAGTATACATGCTTATTCAAGTTAAAGTGTACAAAAAACCAGTCTTTAAAACATGTTGTTTATCGTTTCTTATGTTTTTTTTTCCATTAATACTTTACATATAAAATGTAAAAATATTCACTAAATTACTTGCGCTCTACTGCTGTGTGTTTCTGGGGTGGAGGAGATATATCTGACTACATCTGGACAATTCCAAACTATACATC